AGCGTAGCTCCGACGGGTAAAGATGCATCAGACGTTGGCCACTGCCCATGTGCCCATTGCCAGCAACAGGATGGCTAGGAATTGGTCACGGAAGCTTTCCTTTAAAACGAGCTCCCTGCTTCCCTAGACATGTTAGCCAGCAGCGACTTGACGTTCTGCGGGTCGGATCAGTTCCAAGTTGCGCCCGGAGGCTACATGTATTCTACCGCCAGGTCAAAGCCTCAGAACGTGTGCTGAGTTGCCATGAAAGGAAGTGTCCGCGCCAGGGGGAATCGGATGTGCAAGCAGACCGGGCAAATTCTAGATGAGGTGCGGAGTTGATCATAGTCCAGAAGTGTCCTTTTGATCGCTTCGTTTTTTGAAATCGCAGGGTTCCACTGATTCAGATTGGCTTTTACAAACTATATACGGGAAATCAGGAAATCCATTGCTCCACTGGTTTAGATTGGTTTTTATAAGCCCTCGATTTTCTATGCATGAATTTGATAACCCTCTGATTTAGATAAGGGAACTCCATCTATTTTCTAAAAGGCCTATGAGTTGATCCCGGCTACTGGCTTGCAGGGCGATGAGCAGCCATCGCCCTTCTTCGGGTACGGCGTGGGCTTGCCGCTGTCGCGATTGTATGCTGAGTACCTGGGCGGTTCCCTTCATTTGATGCGCCTTGGATGGTTTCAGCGGAAAATCGGCGGCACCCACCTTGGGTCCAAAAGCGGTTGCAATCGGCTTGGGGTTCAGATCCGGTCAGCCACCTACGCATCCCCAAGAATTGTGCCGATTCCTATGAGCACCATGACCCAAAAACGGCCCTAGAGACAAACGGGACTTTTGTCCACTCATGGGTTTTCGAGTCAGGAGTATGCCAAACTTTGGGACTCATGCCTACCTCTTCCTGCAGCAGAGTTCGGATCGGGCCGAAGCCCTTCCAAACTATGCCACCTGGCAGCACTTGGATGGGTGATATCAAGGGGTACGGGCAAGCCCCCGTTGTGGGGAAAATGTGGGTCTGTCTTTGAAAATGGGAAAACAACTTGTTTGTGGTTTTAAAAGGAAACCAAGAGAACAACCGAAGCCATTTTGGGGGTCCGATTCCTAAAGACACACACACCCAACTGGATTTGCATTGAGAAGCCATTTTGTTCAAACAACATTACTTCGGCGGAAGAAAGTTAAAAGGGATCGTTGCTTCAGTTCGGGTTGAAGCGGATACAGGTGTGTGTGTGTGTGTCAAAATAGGGTGCCCTCAAAATGTTGGTTGTCCTTGTGATTTTCCTCCCCAACAAACAGCACAAACACCGACACGCATTTCGAGTAACCCCAGGCGAGAAACTGTCCTGAAAAACATTTGGGTGTTTGTCAATATTCCTCCCTTGGGTAACTTTCCCGTGTGAGAAAGTCATATTATATCCTTCCTTGTGGTAGGTGGAAGTCCCTGCCCATGTATGGACCTCAGCAGTTGTCCAAATCGATCTGACCTTCTGGTACTCCCCATTTTGGTAACCATAGAAAGTGGCCCCCGAAAACTGATCGCCTTTTTGGTAACCATAAAAAAGTTTGGCAGAAGGTGATCACCCTTTTTCTGTATCCGAGTCACCCCCAACAAGTTGATCACCTTGTAGGGCCTTTGGCTTCGTTTCAACCCGAGGTCAACTGGCTCCGGAAGAAGAAGCTCCGCGAGGACATCCAGGTCTATGAGGCCCAGGAGAAGCTCGCGGCAGCGGCTCGATGGCCAAAACGGGGAGCGGTGGGTGTGGGGTTTTTGGTCGAGCTGGGCCCCCGGTTTGTGAGGCGCACCACATGGAGGCTCGGAAGGAAAGGAAGCATGTCGATGGCTAAAATCGGCGATGGGTGTGGGATGGTGTGGCTTTGTTGGAGCTGGGCCCCCCGATTTTTGAGGCGCACCGAAATGGACCCCGAGCCCTTCATTTTGACACAAGATGGGAACGAATCGCTAGGTTGGCTCACAGGAGTAGTTGCCCAAGCCATGGTCGTGAGGCCCTGTTTGGGAAGCCACGGTTACTGAGAATTGAAGTCCTGCACCATCAAAGAAAACGAAGGTTGGTAGACGATAGTGCTTTTGACTCTGCAGGTTTGGTAGATTGTAGTACCAAGTTGTTCTTTTGAGTCTGCTAAGAGCTTTTGTTCAGGCGTTTTGTGCAGGAAACATGTGCTAGATCCTGCGAACTTTGCAGTAGACATGAGTTGCTTCTCCAGACAGCTCCGACGCAATTGCATCACCACCATGTGTGCCATGCTCACAAGACCGCTTCCTGGGATGGTCCTCACCTGGTAAGGATCCTTAAGAACCATTATGATGATTCCTATAACAACCATGACCCCATCGGCCTTAAAGAAACGGTGGAGTTTTGACCACTCAGCTGGCGTTCCAATTTGGTCGACACGTGAGGCTTCCAGGGATTATGCGGAAGCGCTTCGCTTTAAGAGCCTAGCGGCTGAAGCTGAGATGGAGCTCACAGGATTGGAGCGCTCGCAGCTCTGAGAAATTGGCTTCGCCACCGGGGTGTTTCTAGACGTCCGCTTAGGATTGCTAGCGATAATCTCCTAGCAACTCCTGAGTCATACATGGCGCCGCTGGGAAAGCTCGCTAGCTTTCGTTCACCCGCCTCTCAAGTGGGTTTTCCCGTTCAGCTCAAAGACTGGCTGACTTCCCCGGCCAAGCCGCGGACATCGAAGAGTGTGTGTTTTTCGAGCCGAAGCGGCAGAGGAACATCGTGCAGAGCCTGCTCCGAGTCACCTGAGCCACAATCAAGGTTAGCAAGGGAGAATCCCAACCATAAATAGCTGCGGATATCCGCCTGAATTCTTTACATGGTCCTGGGATTCCGACCATTTTACCGGGTTTTGACTATAACTCACCGGAACTTCTGTGGGAAAAGCTGCCGTGTTTGGTGCCCTGCCGAATCCGGGTTGCCATCCTTCAGGCATTCTGGGCACTGGCGATCTCAGTCTCAGTCGGATTTTCACAGCCATGCAGCAAAACGGGACGGGGTTCATTTTGGGGCGCGGCCCTTGGCTCGTGCCAGGCGTTGAACCTCACAGCCTTTTCCATCCAAAAGGGGCTACACTGCAGGTGATGACCCAATTCCACTGGGTGTCAAATTGGGGCCCTGGAAAATGACACGAAAGTGCAAAACAAAGGGGATAGATATGAATGCGTCTTGTGTTGCCAGCCGATTGATTTCCGCATCAATGTTTGCCCGGATGTCCACCTCGAAGGAGCAGCGGAGCCACGCGCGAACGGAGCTCGCACAGCTCGAAGCGCAGGCGTCCGCGTTTTTGTTGTGTGGGCCTTTGGGCTCTCCCGGTCAAGCCTTTTTTTGGTCAAAAGACCGGTTCCCTTGGTTGGTGCAGTTGGCAGGGCAGGGATGGTCAACCAGGTTTCTATAGGGAACCACCCTGAGGAGGTTTGAGAAATCATCTCTAGGGCCCATTTAAGAGCAATCAAGACGCTCAAATCACTACAAAGCCAGTGGCCGGTTCCTATGATGTCGATTGTTGATTCGAGAAGTTGATGGTCATGTTCTTCATTTGGGTGGGTGTTTTTTAAGGGAAGGAAGCCACCACCTTTGGGCCCCCCTATTTGACATGAACCGCATTCCTTGGGTTTCGCTCAGTTGCCAAGCGTCACCTCTGGCCGGCAGGCTCACAAGCTTGAATGCCAAGGCAGCGGTACGTGGCGATTGCGAAGAAAAAACACCTGATAGGCGTTTCTCAAAAAATAGGGGGCCCTGTTCGCATGGATTCAAAGGAAAACCTAAAGGGACTCGGTTACCTAAAGGGGGCCCTAAATTTGAGAAACACCCTGATGTGCCAACCCTGATTGTGGCTTATTTTGCCATTGCGTCAGCAAGCGTGTCCGCGATGCGCAGAATAGCGGCAGACTCAGTGGCTCACTGGCTGCAGGTGTGGACAACGTCTACACAAACGAGCTGGAAAGTGGCAAGGTGCGCAAGTGGCCGTTACTATGCTTGCCTCAGTTGCCACGGGGCAACTGATGTGTGGCAGAATGTCGCCAGTGTCAAATGACGGCAGATATCCTGTTGTTTGGTGTCATATTTAGGCCAGAGTCTGGCAGGCAGATGCAAAAGACCTCAAGAAGGCACTGTCAAGCCCTCAGAGGGCCATGACGATCATTTGCATGAGCTCCGAAGCGGGCCAAACATTTGGTGGCTTGGTACGGGAAACCTCTGTGCAAACTGGCTGAAGCATTTTTACGGTTTTGACGTCTATGCTTGGTTGCTCCCGGCCATCCCCTTAGCCTTTTAGACTTTTTGGGTTTAGTGGTGGTTTCCATTTAACCCACGAAAAGTTAAACTTTTAGCAGGGGATCTGAGGACAACCAAATATAAAGGGCGTAATACAAAATACTACCATATCACATATCCACTATCCTTACTCTGATGAATCCTATCACCTGTTTTTTTGCAGGCGCAGGGGCGTCTGTATTTCACTTGTCACTAGTTGTGTGAGGATTTTTTGGAGATCCAGAGCTATGCAAAAACAAAAAAAACAAAAACACCGCACTTTTTGCAAAAGTCCAAGAACTATATCAAAAACCCTGGAAACGATGTCTAAATATCCCACTAAAAACTCAGAGCTGTTTTCTAATTTATTGTGGAACCTTGCAGCGTTATGTCTATTTTCCCCGCAGGAAGCTGAGAACTGTTTCTAATTTGTAATGCTTAAACTTGTCACACGGAATGTGTTGTTCGGCGTATGCAGTTGTGAGTTGCAACTGGGGGGTATCAAATGCCATGCGCACACATAAGCGAACCATGGCTTCATATATTACGTGTTGTGTTTACATATTATGTATTCACAGTTTTAATGATCATCTGAGCTCATCTCATCTCATATCATATCTTATCACATCATATCATATCATACTATAATATAGTATATAAGTCGCATAGTGTGGTGTAGCATTGTATGGTGTGGTATAGTATGTGGTGTGGTATATTATTAGCACAGCCTGTTTCAGGGGCGTGGTCCTGGTAAGATGGCTGATGTTTGCAGTATAGTTCTCTGTGCCATTGAGATCTAGCCCGAGGTAGCGAATGCCGCAGGGAGCATTCCATAGGAAACTGTCCTGGCGCAATTTGGGGACACACCAAGTACTCCTGGAACATAAACATGTGCAGCATCCTCTTGGAGATCTGAAGCCCTTCTAGAGCCCTTGGAAATCTGCAATAGTATCCTTGAAAATAGGAAACAGCTTTAGAGTTACGCCAGTTGCACGCTTGGAAAACTAAGTAGTTCTCGAGCATTTCCTTGGACATAGGAAATCGTTCCAGAGTGACACCCTTGGTACACGACATAGTTCAGGAGATCCTTGGAAATTGGACATAGTTTCTGAGTTGCACCTTTGGAAAATGATCTGGTTCTAGAGCACATCTTCGGAAATTAGAATTAGTTCTAGAGCACACCCTGAGAAATTGGGAATAGTTCTAGAGCACACCCCGCGAAATCAGGAATAGTTCTAGAGCACACTCCGGGAGATTAGGATTAGTTCTAGAGCACACCCTGAGAAACTAGGAATAGTTCTAGAGCACATCTTCGGAAATTAGAATTAGTTCTAGAGCACACCCTGAGAAACTAGGAATAGTTCTAGAGCACACCCCGGGAAATCAAGAATAGTTCTAGAGCACACTCCTGGAAACTAGGAATAGTTCTAGAGCACACTCCGAGAATCTAGGAATAGTTCTAGAGCACACTCCGGAAAATTGGGAATAGTTCTAGAGCACACCCTGGGAGATTAGGAATAGTTCTAGAGCACAGTCCGGGAAATTAGGAAGAGTTCTATAGCACACTCCGGGAAATTAGGAATAGTTCTAGAGCACACTCCGGGAAATTAGGAATAGTTCTAGAGCACACTCCGGGAAATTAGGAATAGTTCTAGAGCACACTCCGGGAAATTAGGAATAGTTCTAGAGCACACTCCGGCAAATTAGGAATAGTTCTAGAGCACACTCCGGGAAATTAGGAACAGTTCTAGAGCACACTCTGGGAGATTAGGAATAGTTCTAAAGCACACCCCGGGAAATTAGGAATAGTTCTAGAGCACACCCTGGGAATTTAGGAAGAGTTCTAGAGCACACTCCAGGAAATTAGGAATAGTTCTAGAGCACGCCCCGGGAAATTAGGAATAGTTCTAGAGCACAATCCGGGAAATTGAAAAGATAGGAATAGTTCTAGGGCACACCCCGGGAAATTAGGAAGAGTTCTAGAGCACACCCTGGGAAATTAGGACTAGTTCTAGAGCACACCTTGGGAAATTAGGAATAGTTCTAGAGCACACTCCGGGAAATTAGCAAAGAGTTCTAGAGCACACTCGGGGAAATTAGGAATAGTTCTAGAGCACACCCTGCGAGATTAGGAATAGTTCTAGAGCACACTCCGGGAAATTAGGAATAGTTCTAGAGCACACCCCGGGAAATTAGGAATAGTTCCAGAGCAGCACACTCTGGGAAATTAGGAATAGTTCTAGAGCACACTCCGGCAAATTAGGAATAGTTCTAGAGCACACTCCGGGAAATTAGGAACAGTTCTAGAGCACACTCTGGGAGATTAGGAATAGTTCTAGAGCACACTCCGGGAAATTAGGAAGAGTTCTAGAGCACACTCTGGGAAATTAGGAATAGTTCTAGAGCACACTCCGGGAAATTAGGAATAGTTCTAGAGCACACTCCGGGAAATTAGGAATAGTTCTAGAGCACACTCCTTAGGGAGATTTAGGAATAGTTCTAGAGCACAGTTAGGAATAGTTCTAGAGCGGGAAATTAGGAATAGTTCTAGAGCACACTCCGGGAAATTAGGAAGAGTTCTAGAGCACACTCTGGGAAATTAGGAATAGTTCTAGAGCACACTCCGGCAAATTAGGAATAGTTCTAGAGCACACCCCGGGAAATTAGGAAGAGTTCTAGAGCACACTACGGGAAATTAGGAATAGTTCTAGAGCACACCCCGGGAAATCAAGAATAGTGCTAGAGCACACTCCGGGAAATTAGGAATAGTTCTAGAGCACACCCTGGGAAATTAGCAAATAGTTCTAGAGCACACTCCGGGAAATTTGGAATAGTTCTAGAGCACACCCTGGGAGATTAGGAATAGTTCTAGAGCACACTCCGGGAAATTAGGAATAGTTCTAGAGCACACCCATGGAAATTAGGAATAGTTCTAGAGCACAATCTGGGAAATGTGGAATAGTTCTAGAGCACACCCCTGGAAATTAGCAAAGAGTTCTAGAGCACACTTCGGGAATTAGGAAGAGTTCTAGAGCACACCCCGGGAAATTAGGAATAGTTCTAAAGCACACCCCGGGAAATTAGGAATAGTTCTAGAGCACACCCTGGGAATTTAGGAAGAGTTCTAGAGCACACTCCAGGAAATTAGGAAGAGTTCTAGAGCACGCCCCGGGAAATTAGGAATAGTTCTAGAGCACAATCCGGGAAATTAAAAAGATAGAAATAGTTCTAGGGC